GACTATTCATAGTTTCTGTAAACTGTCTTTTATTTTCTGTTTAAAATCATTCTCCTTTTAATACCCCTGCTAACATTGTTAGCATTGCTAACATATGTTGACTCATAATTTATCAAATTGATGTGTGTGTTTGTTTTGATCTGTTCCTTCCTTTACCACTTAATGGTGTAAATGTTAAACCCCTAGGAACAAGGCTTTTGTTGTCATGTGTACATAGCTACAGACAGTGTAGTTATGACAATGGAAAGCTTAGGTCACAGGGTCCTCCAACAGTGCAACAACAGTAAAACACATAAAATAGTAAAGGTAAATCAAATAAAACACTGAAATAATACGAAGAAAAAAGGCAGAGTTGGAGAGGAGCCAAATACACGGCAGCCCTCATCACCGGCGCCATCTTTTTTTTTTTTGGAACATTATGTTTAGATATTTTAAATTGTGGTTTCTGGACTGACTTATGTTATCTTATAAATAGCTTTATTTTTGCATTTAACAACTCACTGTTGACAGCGATCCACTCATTGAGATCCTCTCCCTCAGGCAGCATGACGGCCTGCCTCAGGTTCCCACTGCCCAGCGTGGCCTCGGCATGTTTCAGTAGCTCGTACTGGTGGGAGCCCTCTGGGATGTTCTTCTTCGGCTTGAAAGTCTTGGATGAGCGATTGCCACTGCAGAGAAACAAAAGTGGAGCTGAGCAGTTGTCATGTGATGTGACACGTTTGAAAGGCTTGTGGAGGAGTAGCTGCTCCTCTCGGGCCTCCACATGTGAGGATCCTTCCTGTGAGCTTTGAGCAATCAGCAGCTGACATTATGGCAAACGTCATCGTGAAATGACTCAAAAAATGGCCTTAAGATGCTAGTGTTTTTAGTTGTCTTGACTAATGTAACACTATAAATTGGCCAACCAAATACAGACATGACATGTGAAAACTTCAGACCGTGCAGAATGCTGTTTTAATCATAAATATAATGAGAGGTTGTATAAAAGATAAGATGTACTTTATTAATCCCTAAGTGGGGAATGTTTTCGTTGCAGCAGCATGTAAAACAAAGTATTGCACATAAGTAGGAATAAAAAGTAGTAAGACATTTTAAACTCTACAATATACACATCTCAAAATAGAAATGAAAACAGAACTGAAAATATAAAAGTTGACTTTAAAAACATCTGTAAACTATCTGACTTCCGTTTTGTGCATCATACAATGGCTCCCTGTATATTTAAGAATGTATTTTAAAGTTTATCATCTTAGTTTTAAGAGACACATAATTAATACAACCCCTTTTGTATCATATATCATCCATGGTTTGGATCCTTCATGATCTTCCACAGCCTCCCTTTTAAACTGTTGGCAAGGATGCCACAAACACGTTTGGAGATGCTACTTGTTTTGCCACAGTGCCAAAAAAGGTGGAGAACTTTGCCTTTAAATACTATCCATGCTGACTCTTTTTAATATATCCTATAACAAGGAGCTGTCCGTTTTTATCCTTTTTGATTCAATTAAATTATAAGATAATAGGAACACTCATGTTCTCCATTTCACCTTCAGGGTAGTTTTTACATATTACTCCAGTTGTGTGATTGTATTTCACATTATTAATCCAAATGTGCAAACTAAATAAAGATATTAAATACATGTAGTGGAGTAAAAGTACATTATTTACCTCTGAATTGTAGTGGAGTAAAATTACAAAGTAGCAATACAATTGAAATACTCATGGAAAGTACAAGTAGCTACCTACAAATTGTACTTAAATACAGTACTTGAGTAACTGTACTTAATTACTTTACACCACAGGTAAACAACGAGACACTTAATCACATTATTCGACGTTTAGCAACCTCCCAACGAGGTCAGGTCTGCAAATTGAAACACAATAACTTAACACGTATTGTCCTAGCCTAATTAAATGGAAAAGTGATAATATCAGCTAAGTGGGCTAACCTAGCGTCAACCGTCATGCTAGCCAAGTTAACTAACGTTTGATAAAAAGTTGGTGAGTGCTGGAAACACACACATAAACACAGATGACAGATTAAGTAAAGGCGACGTATTGTAAGTTAAATACAAATGCGTTTTAAGTTAAACCTGAACGTGTTATGAATTCACAGTGGTTAACGGTTGTTGTCTGTAACGGTGTCTCACTTTGACGCCAGTTACTTCCCCTGATGGAACTTCGTAGCTAACATTAACCACAACGTAACTAAGCACAATATCTGACCATTGTACTTACAACAAGAAGCTCATCTTGGCGAAGCGGTCGTCGAAGAGCCTCGATAACAACTCTAGTTTAGTAAACAGGTATTAGTTTTACAATCACCCAGAAGGAACCACTTGTCAACGATGCCTGCTAACAGTGAGGCTAACATGAACTGCACCCTCTGAGGCTCTTCCTCTATCTCTGTAGCGGCCCGCCGGCAGACTGTCGCCCCCTGGCGGCTGCATCTGGTACTGACACTCTAACATACATCCATGGTACTACCACTCTGCACATAATGTATCTGGTACTACCACTCTGCACATAATGTATCTGGTACTACCACTCTGCACATACTGCATCTAGTACTGACACTCTGCACATACTGCATCTGGTACTAAAATACATCCATGTTACTAACACTCTGCATCTGGTACTACCACTCTGCACATAATGCATCTGGTACTACCATTCTGCACACATAATGCATCTGGTACTACCACTCTGCACATACTGCATCTGGTACTACCACTCTGCACATACTGCATCTGGTACTACCTCTCCCCCATACTGTAACTGTAGAGAAATTAAGTTGTAGACACTTACTTTATTTAGAATTTTTCTTTTAGTTACAATAAAGCCAAGACATACACAATATACAGTAAGTAGGTACCAGAAACCTTTACATGACGTACAAGAGAAAGAAAAGGGGGAAAAAGCTGGGTATTACATTGACAATTCCTGAGAATAGTCTGAAGCTGCCAGTCGATAGCATCGTGGACATAAACAAAAAGGTTAAGGGTTACCCACTACCAACACAACAACAACAAAAATACCAAAAGGAAGAAAAGAGAAAACTAAAACTAAATAACTGGGGATGGATTGCCAAACATCAGACAAAATTAAGAATTACACAGTCTTTACAGAGTAAGTAAAATAAAATACAAAGTAGTAGACAGATTAACTGTGGTGTAAAGTAACTAAGTACTTTTACTCAAGTACTGCACTTAAGTAGGCTATAATTTTGAGAGACTTGTCCTTTACTTGAGTATTTCCATTTTATGCTTCATTATTCATCTACTACTCCACTACATTTAGTTAACATTTAGTTAGCTCTTAAGCCCCAAGCCTGTTTTTCAGGTTTCAGGCTCGAAAATGACATTCCCAGAACAAATGACCATATCTTTCTAAAAGGGTCAAATTAATAATCTTTTTTCTCAAAGTAATGATAAACCTGTGAGTTGGATGTAGAAAAGTCAGAATCAATATAGATGTTATTTATTTTAAAGAAAATTCACATTTTAACATTGGGGTTTATGGAAATTGCTCCCTTCTGCAGACTGCTCCTACTGGCCACTAGATGAACTGCAGTTTGAGGCACTTCCTGATTCGCATCCCGAAAGTTGCCCAGAGTTTGCCGCATGGTTAGTAGACTAAAAGCTTTAGGAATCCAAAGTACAACATATAATAAGTACCCTGTATCAAGATTGATGCAAAACAAGTGATATTTGACCTTTTTAGACAGATTTAGCAAAAAAAACCTCTTCTGGGGCCATTTGGGTGGATTTTCCTTATCTCTGGCCCCCTTCTTCGATTTTGACATGTGACATCTCTTTCTGACCGTTAAAGCCAATAGAATCGAAGGGAAATCGTCCCGCACACACTCATGTTAAAAAAAAAGGTGACGTCTTTGCGCATTCAATTAAGCTACAGAGCGTAGGAATGGCCTGCTCTACTATTTTAAAAAGGAATTGCAGTTTTATTGCTTATAGATTATCAGAACATTTCAAAGGGGACACAGCCACATTGGATATTAACCTATGGATTAATTACATCATCGTTGTTATCGTTTTAATGCCATTGAAGACCAGTTTAGACCAGACTAAGACGAAGGTAAGCCATGTTAGCGTTGTGGGCTACCTAGCGGCACTTGTTTTGATGTACGTTTTTGTTGATAACGTCGCGAGTTTGTATATTTCAGTGTTGAGGTGGGCACCGTTAGATTCTGTGTATTTACGATCATAAAAGATGTGTTGGATGTGCAGCTAGGATAAGTAATAAGGGAGCTAGGAGTGATTTTCAGTGCAGTAATAGGTTAGCATTTTTTGCTCGGGGCTAATTCAGAGGCTCACTGTTAGCATTGTGTGTTTTTTTTGAAAAAAAAAATGAAAAAGATCAGTTAAATTATTTTTTTCCCGTTATATGGATATAAAATATTCATAGTTTATTAAATATTAAGGTTCCTTAGACATGTTTTCCTGCAAATTACACGATTTCGGCCCCGGAACCGGGTCCGTGGGGCTTAAGAAGCTACTTTTAACAAAATGCATCTCCAAAAATATAACTATTGGACTAATTATTTAGGTCACACATGTGTCAAACTATTTAAATATTTTACAAAAACATACTCATACACTGTATTTAAGTAGAATGTTGAGGGACCTGTACTTTACTTGAGTATTTCCTTGTTATGCTACTTTTGACTTCCAAGCAACCACAATTCAGAGGTAGGCCTAAATAGTGTAATTTTACTCCACTACATTTACGTAGTGCCTTAGGAAAAGTAATGAATAATTGTTTTTTAGTAGTAGCTACATCGTACATTTACTCGGCTACTCTACAATACAGTACCAGGCATTCAGAGGGAAGGTACTTCCCCTGCCTATTTTCAGTTTATTTCCTTCACGGCTGAAGGCGCGAGTTCAGTTCAGTGGAAATGTAGAGCGTTATCTATGATGCAGTGGAGGTGTGGCAGCAGAATTAACAGTGACGCAGTGCAGGGGGAAGGGCTTTAAAGCCTCGCTGCCCCTCGCCTCTTCCTCCACAGACTCAGCTCTGTCAGCCCGGGTTGTGTGTTACGTGACCGGCCGCGGCATCTCTTCTCCAGTCAGAATGGCAGCGATCAGGACCCTCAGGAAACTGTGTCAACACTCCCAGCACCAACTCTGTAAACTGCACACGTCCGCCCCGAGGTGAGTGCGACCCTCAATCTCTTTTCATTTGAGAGCATAATGTTCCGCGCGTTTTTTTTTTTCAAACATGAGGCGAAATATTAAATATACATGTAGATATGTTCATTACGTTTATTTCTTTAATGATCGGTCGTCTACAGTGCTGCGTGTGCGTGGATATCACATTGTGTGTTTTTGTGTGGTGGATTTGATAGATTTTGTCGGAATAAATGTCCCTACTCGGTCACATTTTTGCTGCACCTCTGGCGGTATGCCGGTAACATTGCAGCCGCCGACTGGCTGATGAAATCGGTCCCAGTGCTTGCACCCAGAGGTTTGGGGACCCAGGATTCAGCTGGAGACCAAGGTGTTGCTCTTAACACAGTCAATGGTCTGAACCAGATATACAAGTTATGCATATCCGTTTTGTAATCCCTGACATGTGATCATATACAAATAATGTGGTATTATGAGAAGGCGAGCTCTCAAAGCAACTTTTCAGCATATCGTGCGAGTACTTATTGGAAACGTGCAGAGTTCAGCATGACTGATGTAAATCTAATTATCTATCTAATGTCGCACACACGCCTTAAAAACTCGTGTGACCACTGCACATGATCTGCAGCTCCAGATGCACATGATAGATAATCTAGTGCATTTAACATGTTATGCATTATTACCATGTATCTCAACAAAGTTACTTAAAGTAACTTTTAAGCATTTTAAACACATGATTAGACATGAACTCTAAAATATTTTCCTTTTAAAAATACTCACAGCAAGAAGTTGCATGTTCAGATAGATACAATACAAAAATGCATCAACAGCAATAGAAGAAAAACATACAAAACGACAACTCTCCTTTGTGGTGGGTCTCAAATAACATGGGCTATTTAGCACTACTATGGGGCAATACATTTGAAAATAGACATTTTCCCCTCAGTAGTCTGGCTTTTTGTTTAACTTCGTATGAGGTTAAAGAGTCGTTTGCTGCTCTGTATTCTAGACACATTTCGTTGAACCTGGAACACTGGCCCCATAGTCGTAACACCATTTGGCCCAAAGATGTGATACATTTCTGTGAGGTTTAATTAGTCATGGCAGAATAAAAGGGTGGTTGCGTCACTGTTGATGGTTCATTACTCTTCAGTTATTAACTACGACTCTCTGTTTGTTGTTATGTAACACAAAACCACCCTAGTTCCTCTGACATTTCGACAAAGCAAGTCAACCCGGTTCGTATACTCATACTGACTGCTCATACTTGAACTCTACAGTACAAGTGCCTATGAAGCACATACTCTTCTTTCAGGTGCAGACGTGCTGCGTCTAATTTTAGAGCCTTGAATTGAAGCTTACCAAGGCTGGATGGTTGCAATGACAGGTTTCTGGTTTCAAATGTCTGTTCATTGGCAAAGAGGCCAAATCCAGTTTATAAGGGACCTTAGATCAGCCCTGGGAAGATTAATAGTAGGCAAGACTGTGAAAATATTAGCTTAGTTGTCCCTGTTTATGTGGTTCATTTATATGGTTTATGAAACGTGTTGGGCCAGTTTAATAAACAAGTAAGCACTTGCAGTCTGCGTTCAGACCGAAAGCAATGCGATCTTTGGCTTTACATGTAATCCCGCCGCCCCCCAAAACATCGCATGGCGTCCGGTGTGAATGCAGCATTACATTGAGAATGACGGATTCCCCATTATTTCTGCGCCTGAATACCAGCAGGATCACAGCTTGTAAGTTAGTAAAGTAAGTTAGTGACTGTTTCTCATCTGACTCCAATCTTTCTGTATTCCAACTCTCAGACAGGAGGCGGTGGTCATCTCAGGAAGGAAACTAGCACGGCAGATTCGAGAAGAAGCCCGTGTCGACGTGGACAAAATGGTTTTAGACGGCCACAGGAGACCCCACCTGAGTGTGGTTCTGGTGGGAGAAAATCCAGCCAGTCACTCCTACGTTCTGAATAAGACACGAGCCGCCGCTGATGTCGGTAAGAAAAAAACACCCACAGCCCTCATACGTATGTGCAAACAGCATTAAAAAAAAAAAAGATAAATATAATAACAATAGAACAAATGCCTGTGTTTTTAAGTTGTTTTCTCACTGTAACCTCCCACAGGAATCTCAAGTGAGACAATTCTCAAGCAGTCAGACATCAGCGAGGAGGAGTTATTGGACCTGATCTACAAATTAAACACAGACCATCGTGTGGACGGGCTGCTGGTCCAGCTGCCTCTGCCAGGTACACAGAGACTGGAAGAGAAGGATTAAAATGGAGTATAGATTTCCTCATTGGCTGCAATAAGCAGATAATGTTAGACCTCAATCATTGTTTTTATTGTTAACGGTAAAACAAGCCTCAATAAGATGCATTTGAAAACTAAACCCATCTGTTTTCTTGAACAAGGTCTTTGAGATCTAGCGTCCCTGACTTTAACTTTCCTTTGTTTTCTGACAGATCACATTGATGAACGGGCCATCTGTAATGCAGTTTCCCCAACCAAGGATGTGGACGGCTTTCACGTAGTGAACGTGGGTCGCTTGTGTTTGGATCAGTCCACCATGCTTCCTGCCACTCCCTGGGGAGTCTGGGAAATTATCAAACGCACAGGTAACCACTTGCTAACTTCATAACTCTAATCCTTAGTGCTAAATGCAGCTAAGCAACTTTCTAAACCAACGATCTGAATTCTCCTCTTTTAGGTATTCCTACTATTGGGAAGAATGTTGTTGTTGCTGGACGCTCCAAGAATGTGGGCATGCCGATCGCCATGTTGCTGCACACAGACAGCCGCCACGAGAGGCCCGGGGGTAGGTTACTGTGCATTTAAAGATTGAGGAGTTTAATATGCAGTATAAATACTAAGTTATACGTTATTTCTGTTGCAGGCGATGCCACAGTCACCATTTCTCACCGACATACTCCAAAGGAGCAACTCAGCCAGCACACTAAAATCGCTGATATCATTGTGGCTGCTGCAGGTTCGTCTCACTGTTTGTTTGTCTGCATCCAAAATCAACTGAAATGAGGAGTGCAATACTTCCCACATGAAATTGTTATATTAATTATTCACCCTGTTACCTTGAATTCTTGAAGAAAAACTTCTCTGCATGCCTTCTCGGTAAACGAAGAATAATTGGTCAAATGACATTAAAACTATACAAAGACATTTGTTTACAAACTCCGAGTATAACCTAAGTCTGATGATTTATCCCAATGCTTTCCAAATACAACTGGATCAATGCAAAGTGTTGATTATACTGTATGAGTTGGGTGAGAGTTTGTAAACCTAGCTTTTATTTTGTTTGCTGTTGTTAAATAGTTTCCCCATAGAGGCATGAAAGAGAAACACTCCAAGAGTTCAAGGCAACGCAGGGGGATTATTTGACATACAAATGGTCATTTTGTGGGCGAAGTACAACTTTAAAGCTTTTTTTTCCTTTCAAGTATACTGAGTTTTCTTTGTCTGTTTACCCGATCATCAGGAATTCCAAACCTCATTACCCCGGACATGATCAAAGAGGGAGCGGCAGTGATTGACGTTGGAATCAACAGAGTGCAGGACCCGGTCACTGGGAAGAGCAGACTGGTTGGAGATGTGGATTTCGAAGGTAAAAAGGGAAAATCGAGCATGATCTTATTTCAGCGTGTTGGCCATCTCTGGTGTCTGTAACCTCATACCTACCTCTGTCTATATTCAGGCGTGAGGAAGAAGGCGGGATTCATCACCCCAGTTCCCGGAGGAGTGGGACCTATGACCGTAGCAATGCTCATGAAGAACACTATCAAGGCAGCTAAGAACGTTCTGCTCTTTCCCCCGGAGAGGATCCGCATGGCGGCTGCGTCCTAATGGGTGAAAGAACATCCCTGCAACAGCAACACATTCCACCCACTCCTAAAACTACCGCCCCTCCGTTATCTTTTTACCTGGAGCGATCCACCGAGCTCCCGTTGCACACGGACTGGAAACATGATAGCTCCAAGGTTCCTTGCTGCTGACATCTTTAACCTCTCCAACTACAAATCCAGCCATGTTTAGACTGTTACATTCACTCATGCAGCTGCGGGTTCCTTGTAACAGCATTTTAAGTATTTATCATTTGCAATGTATTTCTCTGAGGTTATAATGAATAAGGACAACTATTTTATTTATTACTACATTGACATAATATTTAAAAATGAATGGAGGCCGGTTACAGTGTTTGAGGCCTGTCTGTTGTGCTACTTTAGTGATAAGGGCTAACATCATCAGGAACAAGTGTGTTTTTCAAGCTTTAAAGATTCACAATTGCCTTTGTAAAAACTTTGAAATAAATCTTGCAAATATGTTCTCACATTGATGTCTTTTTATTTAAGATCGTCTCTTCATTTACGCTGTAGAGCAGTGAGCATGACTGTAATCTTACTCTCGAGCATCAGATTCACATTGATGCACTCAAACCAAATATAACCTACTCCTCGGTTACTATCAGGTTACTGCTTCTCAGTACCAGTATTGAATAACTACATGTTCCCGTCTTCACCTTTAGTACAATTTACCACCACTAGATTGTAACCTTACTTCACACCAGATGTTTTTTCTACATTATTAGCCCCTTTTTAATCCATATCCTGATTTATGAACTAACTTGAAACAACAACAAAAAAAAAGATTTCCCACAATATCACTGTATTCCTTTAAATCCACTGACCTGTTTATAAATGGCAGGAAAGCAATTCTTGGCTGTGAGCGTGACCCAGATACCTGTTGCACCTCTTTGGGGGGGGGGTGACCTTTACCCTTTACACAACTGGTCAGATTTCTTGACAGTCGTCCATTGATAAAACCGTGTTGCTATTTTTTAACTTCCCGCTTTCCCGTTCAACGTGATCATAAAAAAGCCCTCTTAGTCTGTTGTTTTGATATATCTCAAATTCCCATTTTACTCTTGGTGCAGAGGTTACAGGTCACAGTGGGAACTAACTGAGAGCAACAGGTGTTGTCGGTGGGTTCACTGAGTTCATAGCTTTATCTTTGGACCTCTGCTTGAGATAGGACAGACCTTTCTTTATCTTTTTTTTAACTTTTTGACCCTTTTTGTTGCTGAAATGGAGAAATTAAAAGCAGAATTGATATCATACTTTCTCTGTATACTTAACATAGCAGGAACATTGCTGTTGTGTTTTTTTTTGTTGCTATTTATAAAAGAGAAAAAAACACTTCCAGGCAGGATAAATTCAAAGTACTATTAATTGTTTAAGCGCAAAGATGCAAGACTTTGTGGAATTAATCTGCTTTGGTATGTAGAATATGAGTAACATATCCATGTTACATTTGGATTAAAAGTATTATGTATACTTTCTGAGTCATCTCCGCTAATTTTAAAATACTTCTAAGTAGTGGTTAGGTTAGTTACCAATGAATAAGCATATTTAAACCATGTCCATATGCAGTGTTGGAAGAATTACTCCGATCAGAAAAGTAAAAGTACAAATCCCATGAACGTACTTGTTATGCAGAATGGATCCTTTTACAGTATTTTATTATCATGGTTATTACATTATCCTGTTTTTTTACATGCAAGAGCATAATTGTAGTTCGTCAATTTGGACCAAATTTAGATACTGTGTAGATTAGTAGTAAAGTGCTAAATTACATCATTTCAGCATATATGTGTTACTATGTTTACAAAGTAACTAGTTACTGCGAGTGATTAAATAAATGTAGAAGGAAAAAATAGGATATTCACTTCTGAAACATAGTGAAGTAGAAAGAAGCAAAACGTGGAAATACTAAAGTAAAATTATGTAAAAGATAGTGAATATAGTGTCCATATGCTGGGTTAACCCTTGTGCTATCTTCCTATCAACTGTGCAACATAGTATATAGTACAGTGTAAATAATCAAACCTGTGTTATACATTTTAAGCAAACCTTATTCTGACTTATTACAAGTTTTACTCTTCTTTTTTGAAATGTATGGTAAAAGGCCTCCTTTAGACAAATTAAAATATCATTTCTGATTCAAGAAAGGCAAAAATATTGACTGATTTTACAAGACTGCAGATGCCATAGACTTGAATAAAACCCAAAACCTAATGAAAGTGATCATAATTGTTTTTATCGTAGTATACAGGCACGCATATCATTTTTCTGGCTCTTTCATAGAACAAACCCGACATCGAGGACAACAGGAAGGTAGGAACTAGGAACCTTAATATTGCGCATCCGTCTTCTTACGGATGGAAATCGAAGACGCACAGACTTCCGTAAACTTACCCAGCCTTGCTGCTGTTGTTAGACAGTTTCACATTTGAGGATCTTCATTCAGCTTCTCTGTTCGGATTTATCTCGGTTTTGTTTCCTCCGTGATGGATTGCAGCAAATCCCCTGAACGAGAAGGCCGACAGAAGAAACAAGAGAAGAAGAAGAAGCGGAAACGCTCTCACTCTTCTTCGTCTGATTCCTCGTCGTCTTCTTCCTCCAGCAGCAGGTCATCAAAGAAACCCTCTCTCAAAACCCAAGGTGAGGACTGAAAACATGTATAAAAGTCTATTCCTGCTGGGAAATGAATTGTCTATGTCGATGCCAGTAAAAACACGTGTTAATACAATTTCCCCCCCAAACAAAATCATCCTGTACAATCCTTTAAAATCAAGATATTCTACAAGATCTTTGCTAAATAAAGCTCAACTCAACATGTTTATAATCCTTATGACTGTTTAGGAATGGTCCATATGTTGTACGTTTTTTGGACCAATATCCAAAAATTGACTAAGGCCACTCGACATTTAGACTATTTTAAATGAACACCAATACATATAACTTTTGGGTGCCCCAGATAATACATCTAAATATTCTGGTGGGTAACCTTTCCATATTTAAAGCCCCTGCAAGAACTAATCAGATTCGAAGTTTCCTAAACAAATACTTTTCTTTTAAAGGTTGGGTCTATCTTTAAAAGTAAATACACTCAACCCGTGTTATATGTATATTTTATTGTAAATGTATCTCCGTTATGTTACCCGCTTATTATTTGAATCACTATAAGGATCCTATTAACTCATTTTTGTCCATTTGTTATTTCGTTTGTCATGTATATGTTTTAAAAATGAACAAATAAATTACAATAACGTTGCAGTGGCGTTTTCTCCTGGAGGCCAAGGGAAGCCTAAATGAATAAGAAAATGCTTAAATTAATAAGACGAGAGAGTTTCGGCTGGAGAGTGCGTGCGGACCTGTTGGTTTTAGATAACAGGCGTGTGTAAGTCCTGCATCTTTATGATACAAATGTGTGTAAAATGATACCGGGCGCTGTAATCACTGATCTGAATACGTCATTACATTGACCACCCCACCCCCGACCCAAAACAAAGGACGTATTATTAGGGCTGCTCGATTAAGGCAAAAATCATAATCTCGATTATTTGAGTGAATAATTGATATCACGATTATTAAAAACGATTATCCATTTACTTTGAAAACATCAATTTATTGAAAGAAAAACGTGTAGTATGTTTTTAACAGTTGGTTACCCTGAACTTTAAATATAATTCAATTGAAAAACCAATAAAAAAATATATAAAATAATGATTGTTTTATTTCGATTACATTGTTTTCGTAATCGTTGCAAGCCATAATCGTAATTGCGATTCAAATACGTTTAATTGAGCAGCCCTACGTATTATTGGCTTCCCCCAATTTTTTCCCCCACGTCACGCTACTGGTTATATTTATAACTCATTATAAATGTATCACCGTTATGTTACCTGCTTATTATTTGAATCACTATAAGGATGCTATTAACTCATTTTTGTGCATTTGTTATTTCGTTTGTCATGTATTTTTTTTTTTAAATGAACAAATAAAATAAACTACAATAACTTTGGCGTTAAAGGTGGGGTAGGTAATTCACATGCTTTGACAATAAATACATAAAATATATCATCTGTGGAAGCCGTGGCGCTGTAAAAAGCACGACCAATCATTCTGAGCCGGCCCGGCTAAAATAACTTGATGGTCTACCTGCCTGTCAGCCTTCCATCTGTGCACCAACGTATCTCGTGCCCTCATTGGTCATGTTCGTGTGTGTTGGAAGAGGGGCTCTGTAAGGAAGTCTGAAGGAAAGGGCGGATTTTTTTCGGTTGTGTATTTTCACATTCTAGCGCACTCGAGCTGGTTTCTCCATTCTTACCTACCCTGCCTTTAACTCGAAAGAAAGTGTGTTCATCAAGTAACTCTGTTAAACTTCTTGTTTCCCTTAGATGTGAAAACAGAAAAAAAGAAGCAGAAAAGAAGTTCCTCTTCCTCGTCTTCCTCTTCTTCCTCGTCATCTTTATCCTCGTCGAGTGAGGAAAAGAAGAAGAAAAGTAAAGCAAAGAGAAAGAAGAAGGAGAAGAAGGCAAAGCTGAAGAAGCAGAAGAAGAAGGCTAAGAAGAAGGAGAAGAAGCTGAAGAAGAAGGAGGAGAAGGAGAAGAAGAAGGAGGAGAAGAGGAAGAAAGCGGAGGAGGAGGAGAAGAAGAAAGCGGAGGTGGTGTTGCCCAGTCCTCCAGCGGAGAAGCTTCCATCTTTCCTGGAGGTTTGGCAGAGTGACGAGGGGGCGTTGGAGCTGGGACCAGGTGGGACATCACTTCAGTGTTTCTAATATAAAACAGACAAGTCAAGTCAAGCAATCTGATTGGTTCTTAGCAGTGATATGATGAGCGTATATATCACGGGTAGAATTGTAGTTACTTTTCACAAGTCATGTATCCCTCCGCGTCTGAGAAACAGCTACAACTGTTACATTACGTCCATTACAAAACTAATGTCGGGCCGAACCACGCCCCTTAGCTGTGATATAATGACCATATACCACGGCCTGTCTTGAGCTATTGCTTAAATAGACCCTCTGGTTGATGAAGTTATATAGAATGATCAGATTTAAGACAAATATCGTATTTTTTCTCCATTTTCCTCCGCAGTGATGACGGATGAGCAGAAAGCCCGGCTGGCCACCAAGAGGCCCCTCACTAAAGAAGAGTACGACGCCCGGCAGAGCGTGATCCGCAAAGTGGTCGATCCAGAAACAGGACGCACCAGGTGAGCCCGAGCTGAAGAGTAGAATCATTCACAATCAACAACAAGGAAGTGTAAAGGAGCAGTTGACCTGGGGCGATCAAACACCTCCATCTCAGTCTTAAAGCCAAGTCACCGCCCTTTAACAGTTATTATGTTCTTTCAGATTGGTGAGAGGAGAAGGGGAGATCATAGAGGAGATGGTCACAAAAGATAGACACAAAGAAATCCACAAGGTACGAGAGAAATGTCCAATTTGAAACTTTGTGTGCAATAAGTGTTCCCTCATGTCTAACAGTGAACTTCCATGTGTCCCATAGCAATCCACCAAGGGGGATGGGAACGCCTTCCAGAAGAAACTGGGAATCAACAGGTAGAAGAAGCCCTGATGTTCCTCGGGAGTAAAGCCTCAATAAGCTGAATCTGATATGATTAGCCTCTGCCAGTTTACTGTAGTGTAGGTACATGTGCCGGCACTTAATGAACACTAAAGAGTGAACATTGCCTACATTACGACCTCCAGGGAAATCCAGCTTCTCGTATTGATTTGCCTTTTTTAAATCTGTGCTGGAGTTTTATTTTAAGTCGACTGAAATCTGCAAAAGAAACTGTCCTAAATAGTTTGATAATTCGCTGATTATTGCTTATTTATTCGTCTCCTTGTTTTAAAGCATTTTGTCGATTTGCATTTAAGGTCAATTCCAGCGAGTAAGGTTGTCCGTTACTCAGATGACTCGTGACTTCAAACAGTCTGACCAATCAATTATTTGTTTAATTAGAAACTGATTAATGTTGCAATTCTTTTTTTTATGTTAAGCATCCTTCCTGACTCTTTTGCATACATATTTTACATATTGTGGTTCTCTGAACAAATCTGTATTTGGGTAACTTTTTTCCAGAGAAATAAAAGTTATTTTCTTAACTATATCAAAGCTCCTTTATTTGAATAATCCAGGTCATTGATGCTGAACCAAATGACTCCACTGACAGTGTTGTGAAAAAAGGCAAAGAATGACTGAGTTGATCTTTTTATGTTCTGTATACACTGTACATAAAAACACAAGGGAATGGATACAATGAAGTTATCCAAAAATCTACAAGATACACACCCTGTACAATGACATCTTTACCAAGGTATGTTGCATATGTATGTACAGCCTATGAATGCTAACGGATGTAACTGGTGGCGTCGGATTAACCCGGGGAACATAGCTTGAGACAGGTTGCTGAAATATTTCCTTTAAAGTAAAAACAAGCCAAAGCATTTTGAGGAAAAAATGTCTGTTCGACAAACAGTCTATTCTTTTCCATCGAGTCAATTTGGGAGTGAGCAGCGTTCAGTCGAGGCCTCGCAACACATGTAAGGCAGAAGAGGGAAGTGTAAGGCCTCTGATCGTGTGGGAGTTAGTAGAAACTCAGCTAACGTCTGCCCAGAGGAAACGCCCTGATCCCTCTACACGTTCTCTCAGGAAGGACGTATGGTTCAGTAGTTTCCAACTTTAGACAAGTGCATGTTTTTCCCCAATGATCAAACAGCCGTCCTTCAATCTGCAGCCGACAGTTTGTAATAACGTCCTTCCTTCTTATGCGTTGAGATCTACTCTGAGTTATCTAACCCCGTCTCTCCTCCTTGATATAAAGGGGTAGACAAAATACTAGAAACACCCCCCAGTATAACACTATACAATCCAGCAGCCCCCCAAACCCACCATGAACTCGATCCTTTCAATAACAGTTAAAATATTCAAAGGATTTGTTAAGGGCTAATTCTTTTCAGAGGGTAAAACATTGATTTCTGGGTCACTTTTAAATGTAGTTGACTTAAAAGTCAACGTTGAGATTGAGGATGTCAGTCCACAGTAGAAAACCTACTGTAACATTTCATACTTTTCTCAGATCAGTGGCACTTTTTTACTTATTTTGACACACTATAAATGTGCCTATGCATTTGTTGAGTGCTGCTCATATGTGTTCAGATTCCCTCTGCAATGTAATCTCTATAGAATATGTGCCTGTTGATCTGATTGTCAATGCGTTGCGACACTTCCTCAACACAGTCTGTTTGGTCTTGTGGTTGAGAAATATTGCACGTTTCCCTTACGTTTGAGTCCATATTGGTCCATCGCAGTCAGCTCTCTACTGGTCTATTTGAGGGGAAAATAACCGTCATTTGAATGAATAAATCACAAATGTGTTTCGGAAATAAAAGGTGAACAGCGTGACACAGTCTGAGTTCTGTGTTCCTACTCCTGACAGCGTATTGTACAGAATTTACAATTAGCTTCTCCCTCTAACGGCGCAGCAGAACCTAAGGAGGATTACCTAAGAGCACATTCAACGCCTCATTTACAGCTTAGGGATAACCAGAGAAAAGCCATATTCCAAATATCCAAAAAGTATAATTAACATACAATATATGACACAAGATGGCAGTTCTGTTGATTCTGTTCTCGTGATCTGCAGGATGAAATAATAAAAATACTGTGCCACTGCCAGGCAAAGACCTCTGAGTTTTGGCTGCTGCAACCGAACTATTTAAGAATGAAAGATAAAAACACAACGTAGCTAAAAGTAATCTAAAAACACACTTGGTTCACAAAATCAATACATGTTTAAAATATCCATAATCATAAATAACAACAACTATCATCATTGAAGTGAATCCTGAATGAGAAGGTGTTCCCCCCCCCGGAGTAAAGAAGACACTTGAAGCTGGTCTTCAGTGGCCCAGATACCAGATCTGCACTGTAGTAAAGCAATATGTACAAGCCATTCAAATACATACTTACACAATCCATTTGTACACCTTAATCGTTTCCTCTCTGTTCGTGTGCAGCATATCGTTCTACACGGTTCGCTTTGGCACGTTTAACCGTACAAGTGCTGAGTCGCACATTTCCGAAGGTTCAGCAGCGGCGTGGTCGAGATGTGGTGAAATGTTATAAAATCCCAGGAAAGGTTTCAGCTGCAGCCGTAGTTAAAGGGTCATTTCGCAGTTTGGCTTCATGAGTTATTTCGATGGTTCTTTGGTCTGAGGGGCAGCCAGAAAACAAGCAAAACTGGACTGCTTATAAATGCAACAAGTTGATTCAATGATTTCACGTTGGCTTACACAGCAAAAGAGATTTAAAAAAAAAAATGGTCTTCCTAAAAGTGTTGGCTTAATGATTGGATGTGTTTGGTCAGACATTCAATCCAGTTTTGCCTGATTCTCAGCTCTGCTCCCAGACGTGAACATATCTGATTATCACATTAAAAACAACATATCTTTAAAACTATTAAGCACAAAGTTGATCTCTATATGAATTGCTGTGCTTGCTGTGGCAGTAGTTGGTTACAGTATCAGCACTGACACCTGATACAGGCTGTCTGTAACCACTTTGTCTTGTTTGCTAGAATACAGCATTGGGGTGCTTGTATCTGTAACCATCTTCAGTCTAAAAGCCTGTTGTACAGACTTTAATAGACTGATAAATCGAGAGTAGAAACAGTCTGGATCTGAACAATATAAGCGGTAAGTCTTTTGTGTTTGTCCCTGTTTCAGGAAGTTGCTCCTTGAAATGCCTGTTGAGTTGTGTGTGTGTGTTGTGTAATAAATAAAGCCTCTGTTCATAAATATCTGTGTAGAGTGTGACTGGCATTAGGTCATAAACAGTGGTTTGTAGCACATATTGTGTTCATTGTGGCATTGACCCGTCTCCAACCCCAGTGTTCCTCAGTCTTTGCATTAGTCTTCCTCCTGTATTATGACCCCCTCTCAGTGTCACTTGGGGCTGAGGATGGCGGGCTCCATCTTGGTGCTGCTGCTGCGCCCCCAGCAGTTGGCGGTGATGCTCATGCTGCGTTGCGCTCCCCCCGGCCCGTAGCTGTGAGCGCTCTCCAGCCGCTCGCCGTCCGATTGGCTCTGGGTGCGTTCGGGCCGGCTGTGGACGCTGCCCGTCGGGGAGCTGGGGGCCGGCTGCGAGGAGATGGTGCGCAGCAGGTGCTTCCTCTTTCGCAGGAAGTCGCTGTTAGCGCCCAGGCCGAAGCTTCCCTTACGTAGCACCATGCGCGCCGTGCTGGACTTAGCGGGTCGAGAGCGGTGGCTGTACTCCAGCTGGGACAGATGAGCCGCATACCCCTCTGTGATGAACTGTGGAGAGGACCAGAGACACGCTGTCAGCTATTAACACCCACAGGAGTTATACATCCATGGATATTTATTTGTTCAGTTCAATATTGCAATAATTCACATTCGATGGACAATCTGCACTAATGTACATTCTCTAAATATTCAAGTGACTGTTATTTTGTATATATTGATTGTTGTGTTTTTATTTAGGTCTTAATGTGTGCACATGTAAAAATGTGTCTTTGACATATTTGCACACATATTTTTATTTTTATATTCTATACATTTGTTTTTATATTTGGGATTGCGGGAAACAGTATTTTGATCTCTCTCTCTGTACACACAAACTGGAAGATTGACAATAAAGTTGGCTTTGACTGACTTTGATGAGCCTACTCCTGACAGCGTATTGTACAGAATGTACATTTAGCTGATTCTTCTCCCTCTAAAGGCGCAGCAGAACTGAACCTAAGGAGGATTATCTATGAGCACATTCAAAAGCCATATTCCAAATATCCAAAAAGTATTAACATACGACAATATATAGATAGATATGACACAAGATAGCAGTTCGGTTGATTCTGTTCTCGTGATCTGCAGGATGAATCAAATACAATACTGTGCCAGGGAAAGACCTCTGAGTTTTGGCTGCTGCAACTGAACTATTTAAGAATGAAAGATAAAAACACAACATAGCGATGTTTATTTATTCAGTTAAAATAGTCAAAGTAAAAGGTTCCTCCAACCTTAAGGCTGTGCATTAAGACCCTATACATCATTAGCATTTTAGGAAATGTGCTATTCTACAAGAGGCTGTGGTCAAAAGGCTTTATGGCAACCATTTTAAGATGGATTGAGAAAAAGGACACACCTGACGTTTTTTATTTAGCATATTTAAATGGAAAATAGTTATTTGTTGGTTTTTCTGACCACTTTCTCACTAGTTGTTGTTGTTGTTGTTTTTGGTTTATTGTATTTTGTGTGTTATTGTATTTTGCATTTGTAGACGTATGGAATTGATTCTTCATTATTAGGGTACAGTAATGCTATAATATAACACATGGGGGTGTACCGTCTTCGTCCCCAGGAACCTCCATTCAACGCCCAGGCACCGACCGAATAGAGTCGTGTTGAGGGGGTGCCGGTAGCAGAGCAAGACGCTGCGGGCGCAGGTTGCTGAGGCCGGAAGGTCCTGTGTTCCGTGAAGAGTCTCGGTGACCTGGCTGCCATCGCCAGATACAAACTATTCGTGGTTCTCAAAACCACCCAAAACCCTGATGTTACTTACTTCTTTATAAACTTTTGTCATGACGTATAACTAAACTGACTAAGGTCCATTGGTACTCCTTAACAAGCGACCGATGCCTAGGTCTGCGTTTTCTGTAGAGTCAGGAGTCGGGCGGTAGCGTAGGCAGGACGGGGTTTATATGTAGCAGCCTCTGGAAGTTCTTTGACGTCTCGGTCGCACCGGTCCCATGGCTAAGAGAAAACGTCTGAACCCTTGAACCAGGAACGAAGTCTAATGTTTTAGTGAGTATAGGGACAAATAATAAAAAACGAGTTCACAAAAATAACGTCATAAAGGCTCACTATATGTAGATGCCATTATTTGCATG